CCCCAAAACCCCAAAACCCCAAAACCCCAAAACCCCAAAACCCCAAAACCCCAAAACCCCAGAATACATTTTGTAATAGAAATTTATAATATTTAAACATGAGTTCGCTTCTTAACTTTCCGGATGCTGAGACAGTAAAAGGGTTCTCCACAAATTCAGTGAGCACTAAAACTGGGGTGAAGCCTAGCTCTTCAACCACTGAGATAACTGATGAATATACTATGATTTCAGAGATGTTTAATTTTGAGGAACTGAAATAAATCACCCAATTTCGGAATAAAAATATTTAACAAAGCAATATACAGGGGTGAGCTCCAAGATAATAAACGGCATGGCCGAGGATGCATGACTTACCAAAACGGCAGGGTCTATGAAGGATTCTGGTACGCTGACAAACGCCACGGCGATGGCTATGAGAAATACTCTAATAACAACTTCTACCAAGGTCAGTTCAAGCAAGGCAGAGCTCATGGAAAAGGCCTATATTCTTGGGTCACAGGTGAAACTTATGATGGCAACTGGGAGGATGGCCTCAAACAAGGCTATGGAGTCTGGAAAACCAAAACAGGCGATTCCTACCTAGGCGAATGGGACAAGAGCAAAGCGCACGGTTACGGTACCCATATATGGAAGAATGGGGATAGGTACGAGGGAGAATGGCAAAACTCACTCAAGCACGGAAAAGGAACTGATATCTTTGCTAACGGAGAAAGCTACACTGGTCAGTACTACAAAGGTAAACCTCATGGGATAGGAGAATACACTTGGAAAAACGATAGTAAATATATTGGAGACTTCAAGAATGGTCTCAAACATGGTAAAGGAAAATGGATCAAAAGGGCAAGTGTTCCCCATAGTAACACCTACGAAGGAGATTACTTCATGGATAAGAAGCATGGTCAAGGCGTATTCAAATGGGCCAGCGGCAATGAATACAGAGGAAGCTATGTTGAAGATGAGAGACATGGTTATGGAGAAATGTTCTGGACCGACGGCAGTTTGTATAGAGGAGAGTGGGTTAAAGGAATCCAGCATGGCCAAGGAGAAATGCATTTTCCTGATGGGACCAGCAAAATAGGAACTTTTGATAATAATACATATGTTGCAAAAGAAAAATCACGCCAATCAATGAGGGAGAAGTACGAGCAAAGCTCTAAATCATTAGAAAAAGGTCATAAAGCTCTCAAAGATACTCTTGACGTACGGATAACAAACCAGTCGATAAACACTAGCTTGAGCAAAACTCGCCTCAAACCGCTCTCTAACCCAGTCTCACCAAAATTCTCTCTAAAATAAGACCTCAACTCCACACGACTCCTCGTTCGAAAACAAGCTAAACCCAAAATCATCAGAAAAGCACAATATTCTGCCTCCTCTTGAACCAAGACTTATGACCCAAGCTGAGCAAAAACGGAAAACTCACAAAAGAGGCAGTAATTCTAAAGGAAATACCTCTTTTGATGTAGGTATTTTCTCAGAAAAGGCTCTAAAACTGCTAGAAAAGAGCAAGAATATCCTTAAGAAAGATCAGCATCCTGCCTGGAGGCCTTCAGGGTCTATTCCTCGCAAGAATGGGTACAATACCGGGCCAAAACTTTACTATTAAACCTACTTATGTAGCAATTACGAAATCTTCAAGCTAGAATTTGAGGAATGGGGTTTTGGGGTTTTGGGGTTTTGGGGTTTTGGGGTTTTGGGGTTTTGGGGTTTTGGGG